AAAGAGTGAATACGTGCGGAGACACTGGTCTCCTAGGAGAGCCCTTAGACACAAGGGTTTCAGGCTACAAGGTAGGTAACAAATGTCCCAGTACACTACTGATTTAAGCTCATCTCAAATCCCATGACATGACAAAGGATTCAGCTGAACTTTGACTACATCAGGGCCAGGAAAACCTGGTCTTCCCTTTCTGCCCAGTAGTAGTACCATTTACTTCTGGCAATTAGAGCTCTAAAACAGGTGTAAAGGTATTTTTTTCATTTTAAGCACAACCATTAAAGGGGAGTTTGGAATACAAAAAAAATTAAATAAATAAAGGTGAGCACATTATCCAGGAGACAACAGGCCACATCGACATCCTTCCAGGCTGCACGTCTTGATAGCTAAACCATAAGTTTGTCTACATACACAATACAAAACAGATACGCATTCCTTTTAATTGAGAGGGTTTGCAGGAACTGAAATAGTCACTCAAAATCTTCTGTCAAGGTCACAGCGGACACCACCACTGATCTCTGCAGCTTTAAATTCCCAACTCCTTCCTCAAATTTACTAGCCTTAATGCTTGCATGAGGCAAGGTAAGAAGGACAGGAGTTGAGACTTTCTCCAGACATACACTTTACCTTTGCTGCAAGCAAAAAGAACTTCACTTCTACATTTTTGCTCCAGGTCAAAGTTCCCAGTGAAGTCACAGTAATGGGATCATTACAGATGTGCATGCAGTCATGAAGAACTGATCTACTGTCTGTAACTGGTATCAAGACATCACCGATACAAAAGCACAGATGGAACTTCTGGTCAAGCCAGACTTGTCCCTGATTTGAACCGGTGCCCTGAATAAGCAGCTTGTCCATCAACCAGCCTTCTCTGAGATCAGAGGGTATTGCTGTAGCTGTTTCCAGAGCTGTGCTTGCATAGTAACTGCATGCATGTTCGGACCACCACTGGATCCAGCTGATTGAGCATTTACCTGTACCAAGCATATTTTGCAGCATCTCCCGGTAGCTACACTGTCAGCTGGATAGCTGTGAATCACTGAGCCTAGAATCTGTAAAACACAGCTATGTTACAGCAGAAATATCTTGGTCTTTAGCAGCTTCTAGCTTCTCAGGGAGGCCGACTGCTCATTTTTCTTACATTTTATACCCCCATCATTTCTTCAGTTTAATAAGTAAATTTGTAAATGCAAGTATCTGCCTTATTTCTCTAGAGTCACCATTGCTCTAAATCAATTCAGGTCATGCTGAAATTAGTCTTGCCCTTCACCAGGTTAACAGCTTCTCCATTTTTGCTATAATTAATACATGTCTGTAGATAAATTACAAATAAAGTGAAAGACAAAAAAGAAGTAGGATTACCCTGTAATATTTTTTCTTGCCCCTCTATCCCCAAAGTTCAATAAGAAGCCTCTCAAAATCTCACTAACATAATTTAATAAATCAGCAAAAGAGAGACACTGCTTGAAGGTATTTCATAGAAGAAACAAAATGTAAGAGACTCCTCAATAAATGCAGTCACCATACATAATCCTACCTGTTTTCCTGCAAAAGGGAAAAAGCTCACTCATTTTCTAAGCTTGCACCTTCTCCATAGTCCACTCTAGCTGCAGTAAGACTCATCATTTGGTCACTCTGGACAGCAGTAGGCCTGCATGTATCATGGTGGAATGTGCCCTCACTGTTCTTACAGTTTATGGAAAGGCAAGTACAATGACTTGTAACACTGCTGCAAGAAAAAGCTGAAACAAGTTAACAGAATGAGCTTCTTGAAAATGACATCCTTCATCCTACATTTCCGGCATGCAGAGCCAAAACCACATCACGCTTTCAACTGACAGATTTAGAGCTATTATTTACCATAGATGGCAAGACCATCACTGAGACCAAGCAATGCTTCGTGATGCGTTCCTGAACTGCTCACAGATCTTAAGTACACTATTAGCAGTGGATGGCCTGGTTCTATGTTCTAGAGAAAAGTAATTTTTTTACTAATGTTCTATTCTTTTCTTTTTAGAAAATTGTATTTTTGTCATGCTGAGAATGTTCATAATGAAAATTCTTACCTGTTTTCCATCTAGCGTGTATAAACGTTTAACCACCCCCGAATCCAGCTTGATGGCATCAGTTATATCAGTAAGAACCTGTTCAAATGAATGTGCTGTCTTCTTGTTGAGCAGGATCCGGACTGCCTTCCGTGGTTTCACTCCACTTCGGATGATGGTGACTAGTTTAGGCCTAATGAAATCCTTATTCTCTTTTGCATCTGGAGTACCTCCTTTAGCAGTGGCAAGAGAGGGCACTGAACGAGAAGTAGAAGTTGTCTTAACATTCACTGACCAGTTTGGGTTTACATTCTTCGTGTACTCCAGTTTCTTGAAGGGTTCTATGGAACCACATACATAGCTTTCCCCTGCAGAAACAAAAGTGGCAGACCAGCAAGTCAGATTGGAATGGGGGGGAGAAAAGAAAACAGAAAAATACCAAATCAAATCCTTCATAAATTATTAAACATCATTATCATTCTTGATCTACAGTGCAGAAAGTACTGATACCTCTTCCCTTCTCAAATGCTACAGGCTATAAAATATCCTTTAAAGATCACTCGTCAGCTAACCATTCAGAAAATGCTGTTACAAAACCTTGAAAGCAGCAGTTTTCTTTTCAGAAAACACCATCTTCAGTGGGGATCACTGCTGCCAGTAAGTAGTGTTCTTATCTAATCAGCTGCCCAGCTCCAGCACATTATCACAGTAGTGCCCCAGCCTTCATGCTTAAATGGCCTGCTCCCAAGAAAACAGCAGGCCCCAAATATTTCATATTATTTCCTCTGAAGAGTTATCAAAAACTATAGGTTACAAATAACTTTCTATAAAAGGTGGATGAAAGTGTCATAGGATATTTGTTAACATTTGATTATTTAAAGCTTTAAGTAGCATAAACCCAGGATACGTATGGGCAAGAAATCTTACTGTATTATTCTACTGACTCAATATATAATATAGGTGGGAAAGGAAGGCAAAGAGTAGTAATTACAGAGTCCTCCTCACAACAAGTTTGTGATGCTTTAAAGAAAAAAAAATTATTATAGCTCATAATTCTATTGGAACATTATCTACAATAAAATATTTCTGCATTTACCACACCCACGCAGTTTCTGGGGAACTATAACCCAGCCAGAAAACACCAGCATGTCTCTGTTCAGTAACACCGTAACCCCATCCAGCTTCAGGCTGCTGGGAAAGGGGCACCGGCTTGGGTGCTTGCGACCTCTCCCTTGAGCCTGATGAGCGACTGCACTGCCAGGCGCACAGGGTGAGTTGGATCAGCTCGTTAATCTGATTGAACATAACAAAGACAAAACTAATTTTGCAACAACAAGCTGATCCAGTTCACCCTCCGGCTGGAGAGAAAAAAAAAAAAAAAAAAAAAAAAAAAAAAAAAAAAAAAAAAAACAATACTAGATCCAGCAAGACCACACCTTCTGACAGCCTGCAGTTAAACTCCATTACAAATAATGCAAAATCCTATCCTGAACAATACCACAAAATCATCTGAGATGTTTTAATTCTTCTGGTTTCAGTAGTTCAGTGCATGGCATGCTAACAGCATAGAGGTCATCATATTAGCAGTTTAGCTCAAGGTATTAAAATAAAAACAGAACAAAACTCAGTGATGTACCTCCTATGCCAAAAAAGCACATAAGAACCAAAGATTTTCCTAATGATCCCTACCCTTAGGAAAGAGGACTTACAGTTCAATTATTAAAAGAAAAAGAAGTACTTAGATTTCACTTCTGGGCACAAATTTTAAGTTTTCAGAGCACCCAACACAATCCCCCAGACAATACAGCACACCAGGAATGCTGGCAGATACAGAGTTACCACGGGTAGAAATAGGGGGGGATCCACTGAGACACGAGGCCCCAGATGCAACAGAAGTTCAAGCATGTCGTCATGATGCTCCAGAGGTGAGACAGTAACACACTGGACAAGGATTATCAGAAAGACAGTGGAAGGACTCCAAAAGAAGACAGAGAAGTCAGAGCAACATGTGGAGATAGACCACTGAGCAGAAAAGATAAATGCAGTGACAGCGTATGATCAAGCAAGAACCATAAAAAAAGACTTCTGGTTTTCCTGAGGGGTTTTTTTCAGCATTCTTTTAAAGCAGAACAAAATACCAAGATACAGAGTGGGAGATGAAGTAAGACATTCCAATGCTTACTAGTCATCGTGGAAATTCAAGTTAATCTGCACTTTGCAGTAACATCCAAAGTGTTAAGAAAAGCATCTAAAGATGGAATGGTTACAGCAACCTTACAAGAGATGAAGGTAAGCTTTTCTGTATATCCATTGTATATGTATGGGAGAGATATAGATATATATGGTAACATCAGAACAGAAAGGCTTAGCCGCAGTAATGATCCAAGAGTGATCAAAGAGTACATATTCTCTTTTATCCATGTCCCTGTCCAATATTTTTAGTACTAGCTACTCAATTACTGCAAGGTCAGAATGCACCCACAACACCAGATCCATAAAATTAACACGTTTTGAAAAACATTAATAGCATTTTGTAGGGGGAAAAAAAAATTAAAGAGATCCTACTATGAATAGGACTGCGCTCAATACAATAAATACCTGTTTATAAAATACTTTGCAGAAATCTCTTTTATAAATTTTTAAACTAAATTTATTCTTGTCTCCACTTGTGTTTGCTGTAAGGCTTAAAATCCACAAGCAACCTCTTGGGGGGGAGTGAGGGGGAGAAGGGGGGCAAATAAAAATCAGATTTTCAGGTTCAGTGCTATCAGAAATTTTTCAGCTTAGTTGCATGAGATAACAATTATTTATTTAATAACAAGTCTTCATATTAAAATTCTCTTCTCAAAGGGTAGATGCATAAAAAAATGCCCATACATGTAGCATCCAGAAGATTTGCATTTAATTTACTAAGAAGTCTTTTGTTTCCCCTTCTTGAAAGGATAGCATTTCACATGGTTTTTAATACCAGCTATATTTGAAGGTCAGCTGGGTTCCTGGTGGCATTTAACAGCATGTCAGCTCTTCATTACACAACTAATTTTGTGTAAATGACCATAAAGACCAATGCAATCACTGAAGCTATGGGATTGTTTTAACATCAGACTTTTTTCCCTTTCTTCATTTCCAACAGTACTATATTACTTCAATAAAATATTTGCACCAAGATATTTTTTTTCCCTTGAAGAGGCTCATATTTAGCTACAGAGAATCTTGGAGGTAGAGTATCCAAGGCCTTCTAAGATGAGGTATCTTTAGTAAGAACTATCTTATATAGGAAACCAAAAATACAGACACCTCTCCCAAAATACTGTTATTTAAGACTGTTTATACTTCAGGTGAAGTGCTGGGGCTTATAAACCTTCAGGGATGTCAGCCAGGGACTGCAGTTCTCATTCACAGTGGTCCTAAGGGCCAGGCCTGTAGGAACAAAAACTAAATGGACAAAACCCCTATGCCCTAAAAGTATCTTCTATCTGATCTTAAGATCAGTAAACCCTGTTTTATGGGGATGTCCAGCAAATTTTAAGTACTCAAAACACTAGAACCACTCAAATACAAGCCTACATTTCTTGAATGTGGTATCCAACCTGACAGCAGCCAGAAATTTCACTGTCTAGCCCAATCCTTTAGCACCCATGGTGTTTCTATGCAGAGGAAATCTCAAAGAAAAGGACAAAAAGCCTTCACCTAGATTTTCATCCTCCCTTCTTTTTCAGTTCTCTTAAGGAGAAAAGACTGCAAAGAAGTTTCACTAGGGGCATGACTTACTAGTCCAATGAATCCACCTTCACCTTTGGCTACAACTGCCTCACCCCCATGACTTGTACCTGAGGGGTGACAGAAGCTGTGATCTGCGGACGGGCAATACCAACACCAAGTTGGTTTTCCCACCTCCAAAGCACCAGTAAAATACACCTCCGGGGATAATCCCACTGAGCACCATCAGCTCTTACTCTGGGTCAGGCCTAAGCACAAATACAGCCCACAAACATTGTCTTTGACTAACTGGCAGCTGGAGGAAGAAGGTGACAATCTCCAAACGCTAGATTTGTGACAGACACGTTTCAACAAAAGAATCTTTGGAGATACTGGATTAAACAAAAGCATAGAAAAGGCAGCCCACTTAAAGTATCTGTTTGACTGCAGCTCTCCAAGAGAAGGGAGCGAGGGTTTTGCAGTGCAGTCAGCTGTCACTAATGAAATTTTGACTCTTGATTACAGTATCAATAGCCATTAGAAAAAGAAAAGGGCCCAGCTGTTTTGGGATATCTGACATCTAGGAAAAAAGTCATTACTAAGTCTTAGAAAGTACCCCTTTCCTGACAGCCCTCCTGCCTTCTCACAGCAACAGTGCAAATGAAATGCACACCACTTTAACCCTTCAAAATAAAGATACACAATGCTTGTTTACTAGTTTTGAACCGGTAATTCTACAATTTCTGTTGTGCAAGTGCTCAACACTTCAGGAAATTCCATGCGTCCACATGGAACAATTAAAATAGATCTTAGCATTGAGAAGCTAATCAGAAAGCTAATCATGCAGAAGAACAGATCCCAAAACACAGTTTATGTATAAAAAAAAATTTAAAAAGACACACACAAACAAAAAGCTACTACCTGCAGTTACATATCAGTCAAAATTCAATGCAGCTGAACCACTAGAGTCATGTAACACTGAAGGACAGTCTTTACAGGTCACGACAAAACTTCATTACATGCTTCATGTGTTAAAAATATAATTTAAAAAATATTATCTGTGTGCAAGGTGACTGCTAAGGAGGCTGCCTGTAAGTACTGGAGGTTTCCTGATGCAAGTGTTGATCCCTCTGTGGTGGTTTAACCTTGGCTGGACGCCAGGTGCCACGAAGCCGCTCTATCACTCCCCTCTTCAGCTTCTGCATATTTTAAAATAATTTTAAAAGCGAACTAAAGTACAGCATGAGGTCCATACAATTTTTTGCATGTAGCTAAAAAAAAAAAAAAAAAGGCAAAAGCAAAGGCCACTCACAGTAGCAAAAGGAAAACAAGATTTTATTCTCTACTTCCCATTAGCAGGCAATGTATGTCCAGCCACTTCCTGGGAAGCAGGGCTTCAGTATGCATAGCTGTGGCTCCGGAAGACAAAACATCATAAAAAGATGAATGCCCCCCCTCCTCTTCCTTTTCCCTTAGTTTTTATATCTGAGCTGACATCATATGGTATGGAACAACTCTTTGGTTGGTTTGGGTCAGGTGTTTTGGCTACATCCCCTCCCAAGATCTTGCCCCCTCCCGGCCCACTGATGGTGGCGAGGGAATGTTGGAGACACAGCCTTGATGCTGTGGGAGCACTGCTCAGCAGCAGCCAAAGCCCTGGTGTGTTATC